TAAGATGATTCACCAGGCAAGAAATGAGTATAAGCAATAGAGGAAAAATGTTACTACAGAAGATGTCTTTGCCAGCTGACAAACCTATGCATACAGGATGGGGCTCATGGTACTTTGTGTTCTTCAAAGTATTTTATTTACTTATTTCTAGTAATAATTGTTGTCTAGTCTTTCTTTATTAGTAATGTTTTGGTAAAATGAGTTGATGAAACTGTAAACATCAATGGATATATTTCAACAGATTTCTTACCCAGACCCTTCATTTGGAATTGTGCCACAAGAGTACGGGTCTGAAAAGCTACATGGGTCATTGTTCTCAGAGAAAGCCTCTGCATATTTGTCTGTTAAATAAACATCAAAGCATGCATGCATGTCATTAACTTGTTTAATGCCTCTGGAAGGAGCAGCACCCACAGGCCCTGACTCAGTTGTCAGAGTGTGGCCTTCTGTACCTTACTTTTTATACTCTAGCATCATTCTTCAGTTCACTTTTCACTTGTTGGGATTTCTAATCACAAGCATCAAGGCTAAATCGATTTAGTATGAAAATGAGTCCATTGGATGACAGCTTACAGATTTACTAGAAACACTAAGTCTAGAAGTGGTGACAAGGGAGGTCAGTCTCAGTGGGAAACAGAGCAGGTCATGGCTTAGGTCAATAGCCTGCCAGAACTCTGCTGGAGACCTCCCAGTGCACCTTCGCTGGAGCTGACCGAACTCTGGTCTGGGCCTCCAGTGTAGACTCCATCCCTAACAGTTTTACTCAACTGACTGATGGCCAATTGTGTGACTTGATTTGGCTCTCTGAGTTCAAACTGCATCATCAAAAATACTTGGTTCACTTGCATCATACTTATGGCAGATTTCTTTTCTTACAGAAAATATCACATGTTAGATAGCTATACAGAGGAATGCAATTAGAAACCTTTGAAAGGACAAACCCAGTGGAATACATAATGCTTGGCACATACCTTACCTTTGTCCTAATGCCCTTACTCTATGTTTTATTCTAGGACACATTTTTATTTAAAATATTAGCACTAACTTAGAAATTTCTTTTTATAAAAAAAAAAAGATTTTTAAAAATTTTACATTTCTTGTACTTGCATGTACCTGTGTGAATCAGGTGCTTATCTGATACCTTCAGAGGACACTGAACACTCTGGGACTGGAGTTATATGTGGTTGTGTACTGCTACGGTTTGGAGCTGAGAACTAAACTCAGTTTATTTTGCAAAAGTAGCAAGTGTTGTGTCCTGCTGAGCCATTTCTATTGCCACAACCTGGAAATTCTTACAGACTGAATATGTGTCTCTTTCAAGTTTATATGTTGAAAGTCCATCTACCTCAGGAAACCAGTGTAGTACAAGGGCTCAGACTGAGTACACTGGAGTCAGACTGTTGATGTCAACCACATAATATGATCCCAACTAAGACTTGGTTGTTAAAAAGATTCAGAGCTTTGTCATGTGTGTAGTAGTGGCCATGGCAGGCTATGCAGGCTATGGACAGTGCAAAAGAAAAGTCATTGTGTTCATTATTACACTGTAGCTATGTTGAAGATTGGTTATTCCTTATCTCATTGTTGTAGGGTCCTGGGATAATTTTTAAGACACCAAGATGATGAAATAAGCATGGTATGTTCATTCATTTAAATGATTTAAGTCAAATTTAAGAATTAATATTTTCCATGCCAAAGAGTTCTTTAAATTAGCTTGCTTTATTTATTTATTTGTGTGTGTGTTTGTGTGTGTGCACATGTGTGCGTTCACAAGTGTGCTAGTGAAGAGGTCAGAGGAAAACTTCAGGGGTCACTTTTATTTTCTATATTTGGGTTCTAGGAATCAAACTCTCATCAATAGGCTTGGAGGCAAGACTGCTTACTCACTGAGCAATCTTGCTAGCTCTAACTTTCTTCTTAAATGAACTTATGAGATGGCTTAGCACTTAACACTTGTTCTTGCTGAGGATCCAGGTTCAGTTTCTATTACCCACATAGTGACTTACAACTGTCTATAACTTTAGTTCCTGGTGATCTGATGCCTTCTTCTGACCTCCTTGGGAATCAAGCATGCACACGGTACACATGTATACATGTAGACAAAATACAAATTCATCTGAAATTATTAAATGGATCTTTGAGCATTTCATATTACCAGTGGTAACCACTATTAACCCTGTCATTTCTTCTTGATTCGCTGTTTTAAATTGTCTGTTTTTCCCCACCTTCACATAACAGCATGCTATCTTGAAAAATTTCAAACTTGCATTAAAATATTATGAATTTGAAAAGGAGGTCCTTATTCCTAGTTTAGATTTCTATAATTAACACTATCACATTCATAATATGTACATTATATATTTTGTTATAGTAGAGGAGTAAGTCATATGGACCTTATAGGCTCTTTTTCTGCCTGTATTATAGAAGCGATTATAAAACTCATTTCTAGTTTCTTATTTTTAAAATTGAATAACAACATTGATTTAAAAGTCTTTGCAAGATTAAATGAGATGACCAGGAGTATGACAGACATTTGATGAATGTTACTTTTTCTCTTTTCTCTTTATATCATTTATTGTCACAATGTTTTAAATAATTGTATTGTGGATAAGCCATCCTTGAGTATTCTGCCTTTAAAATCCATAAAAGAAATTGATATAATATATGGAGACACTCATGCCAGAAACTAGTAATGTGTTGACATTATGCAGTGATTTGCAGATTACGTTTGGGCTTTTTCTCTGCAATTTCAACTTGTTTTTAGTTGCTGATGTCCCATGGCTTTTCATAAGTTAGGTCAACTCACTACCACTGAATTATAGCCCAAATCAAAGCTAGGATTTTTTTTAAGCAGTAGTACTAAGCCCCCTGCTTTATTTGTCCTGACATGAGATTTCATGTTGCTTTGTTTTTTTGTTTCAGTCTTAGAAGCATTGCTTTCTTTCTTTTTTTTTAATTTGGGGTACATTGATTTTCCTTGAAATCTTTCACAAAATGTTTTGACCTGCTCCCCCTCTCATTTCTTTGTGCGTACTCCTTACTGGTCATACCAATCCTGATTTCTCACTTTGCCTCATGCATTCCTCTCTGCTGTGCTTCTTGATCTTACTCATAAAATATGCAATCAGAAAGCACTTAAGTTATGCTTCTGCTTGATCCTTCTTTCCATTTTAAGAAATGCTGGCACCTTGTGCATCAACCAAACTACTCTCTGTGCACTTTAAAGCTTTCCTTGTTGGCTATGCAGCATGGAGCACATTCTATTCCCCAGCTTCTTCCATGTTTGCAAGAGCCGCTATTGAAAGATGTTCATTTCAATGAAAATGACTTTCTTCTTATAGTTCTTCATTTTGTCTTCATGTATTCTTGTATGTTACTAGTGCAGTATTACCCATAAGAAATCTACTTTGAATTCTACCTTTTCTCTATATAGAACACTTTATTGACAAATAATTGAATTCAAACAACTGTTTAGAAGGCCATCATTATTATTGGGGATTTAGCTTTATTTAATGCTCAATAGGTTCGTGTCAAAAGTTTGCTGTTTTCGGTGTTCTAGTGTATATGAATGTTCACATTCCATTTATCCACAAATATTTAAATAATAGCAAGTGATGGATCTTTGGCTTCTAGTTGTCAACAAATCATTAGCTAACATTTTAAATAGTTTGCACCCTAAAATTATATAAAAAAATCTTTGTATCCAAATAAATAAATAGGTTCCACATTTATGAAATGGCTCAAGCCCCAAATCCTAGAACTTTTAAAGATCCACCATTTCCATCAAGGTCTTCTCACACTAATGCTAGTTATTTTATTGACTCTTTGCTGTAGGCCCTAGCACTGAGGGGGCTAAGCTCTGATGGATCCTGTGTGGAATCTTGAATCATCTGTGTCCATATGAAATCTCCAATCAAACAATGAGCAATAGAAAGGGTAAAAATACTTTCAAATAAGTGTCTTTTAAAATAGTAGTATCTAGACTATAAATAGAACTATTGAAACCAATAGTAAAAACAAGTAAACAATTTATTTCAAACATAATAATGGACATGCAGTGATATTGATGAAAAATAATTAAATTTATTTTAATTTATATTAATGTAATGCAAACCTAGAAAAAGATGGCAATAAATGGTCACCAGAATGATTCAAATGCAAGCAAGAACTTTGGCAATACTAAATGTTCCCAAGAATAAAACAGTTGAGACTTTTTTCTATTTAGGTGCTGTATATTGAACCAGAGCACAACATGCCTGTAAGCTACATCTTTATTCCTGCAGTTTGAACTCCTACACACTGCTGATCAGAGATTCAAAGTGCTATAATCACTGTAAATAAACATTAGAGCATTGATCGTGAGGTGGAATGAATGTTTTCCATATTCCCAGCACTCCAACTTTTAGACAATTTAAAAGAAAGCATCAGAAAGCATATAATAATAGCTATAGTAGCTTTGTTTCTAATAGTCCAAATTGGACCAAAAGAACCAAGATGTTCGTCCGCTGGAAAAATGGATGTACAAACTGCAGTATATCTGTAAAATGGAACACTACTTAGGCATACAGGGAGATGGACTACAGATGTGTGGAGTGATGTGCATAAATCTAAGACAGTAATCATGTTGAGTGAAAGAAACTAGTTTGAAATTGTTGTGTATTAGATGATTGATTTATATGAAACTCTTATAAAATAATACAACAGGCCGTTATCAAATCAGTGTTGTCAGGTTATAGGAGGAGAGGAAAAAAACTAACACAGACATGAGCAGATTTCCTGATGATAGGGCATAGATTTCTTTCTTTCTTTCTTTTTTTTTTTTTGATGTAGGTGATACAATTATATACACTTTCAGGGCCAATCACACCAATAACAGAATTGTACCTTTAAAGTGTTAACTGTACGCTATATGTACATTGTATATCAACAAACAGAACTGAAACTTTTGGTTTAAGGAATTATTTAAAAGTAGAATTGATGGCATAGATCACACACATCTCATCATTTCCTGATCTTTGACTAAGATCAAGTACAGTATTTGTTTTTATCAGTTTAATATTTAATAACACAAACATTCTATCTTCTCAATCTTTTTAGTTTTTTGAGACAGAATTTCTTTGTGTCTCCATGGCTGCTCTGGAATTTTCTGTAGACTGGGATGGCCTCAGTCTCACAGAGATCCTCCTGCCTCTGCCTCCCAAATGCTGGTATTGAAGGTGTGTGCCACCACTGACTGGCTTTACTTTTTAATTTGCTAAATATTGTCTTGAGAAAAGAAAGACATTTGGAACATGCAGTTTATGAGATTTAATTTTCCCTTGTTTTTAATGCTAGTAACATTCATACTTAGGAGACAATATTTATTAAGGGACTGTTAATATAGTAGCTTGTGAAGCTGTTGTTTGTTGAGACTTCTGGTCTCAGCAGTGGGTGTTCTTTGCTGTATTATGCTGTATCTCAGGATTATAATTATAGTTCCACCGGATTCTCTGATTTAACCAAGAAAGTGAATACATTGTATTCCAGGTCCTTATCATTTGTGGTAATGCTATATCTTCTGCAATGGTAAGACCCAGTGGTTACATATTAATGTTATTTTGGTATTTTTTTGCATGATTTTAGAGTACTTCAAAATTTATAAAACTGTTTCAATACTATCCCAATATAGTCTTGAATGGTGTTGCCATTGAACATTTTGTCATCGATAGGTTTAGTTGTCATCGATAGGTTTAGTTGTAAAGTGAGGCTAATCATCCTCTGATGACTGACTTGGTTCACATACTTGACAAGGGAAGGATGCAAAGCTGTGAGTCACCAATCTATCCTGTGTACACAATCCCATTCTGGAAGTTCCCAATACTGCAAAGTGATTGATTTAAATAACCAAAGTGTATCAACTCACTTCTGGAGCTGTAAGCTAACAATAAAGTTATCGGTTGATAGTGTTCTCTGAAAGGAACCAAGAAAAGATATGATCCAGGTTGTTTTCTTGGTTCCCAGACTTGAAACAGCAGACTTAGAGTCTTCACCCGTATTCTTTTTTTCATGAGCATCAACACTGAAGTAGATCCCCTGTTGAGTAGTTATGTCTACATAGGCTCTATATACAAATAACGTCATACTTTAAGTACATGGTTTAGGACCTAAACATATGAATTTGGTGGTACTGAATTTAATCAATAGTAACTCCTATGTTCTCACATATGGAAGATGTATAATGATAGAGGAAGGGATCTCAGACAAAGGCAGAGACCATGAATGCAGACCACTGTGAAGTCACAAACACTAGCAGCACACCTTCACCCTGACATTGAATTTAGAGGAGGACTTTGCATTTATTTTGCATCACAGCTACCACAGATAAGATATTTTGGGTTCTGTCACCGATGTCTGCAAATTTCTATTTTTGTTTCATTTGGAATTAACCTCTTCTTTTGGGAATTAGAAATAAAGACCAAGTATTTCTGGTGAAAGATCAATAGCCAATATTCAGGTTTCAATGTATTCTTTGTTCCAAAAGAATGATGAAAATGGATTTATACCTTTAGAAACGACTTCTGTTCTGGAAGAATTTGCTATTTCTAAATGTTTGCTCTGCTTATGCACTTATTATCATTAGCTCTGGTCATTCACTCTTTTCTCATTTCTTGTTTTTACAGCATTTTGTAGAATTGGTCCTTTGAGGCAAGTATTTGATGAAAACACACAGAAAAGGGAATTTAGGGAAGCTCAAACACTAGATAGAAATGTCAGCTGAGTCCCTGCTCCCTTCTCAGTAGGCTCATTCTCTAGTGTGTGCCAAATCATTTCAATGATTTATTTTTCTAAGGTATTTATGCTTGCATATGGTAGGCATTATTTTGCCTTTCAATTTATTCTCACACAGAGTATTTAGAAATGGCAGTTTTTCTCCTTGATAATTAATTTAAAAATAATTCCCCATTTCATGTCTTGCAGTATCTCTGTACATATTTCCTTTTTATTTCAGACATTTTGAACTCAGCAGGAGAAACTAAATCCTGCTTTTGGTGTCATTGCAGCACCACAGACAGTGGTGATTACTCTCCAGGTTAGATAAAATCCGAAGTTTCCAGTCAGCTATTCTCTCTCAGTAGCTTGTCACAAATAGAATCATATGCTGTTTCAGGTCTGTCCTCAGGCAGCTAAGGTCATTAAGGGTCATTCCACTGAAGGAGAAGCCTCTCTGGGGTCTCACTGTGCCTGCCATTCAATTAAGTTCTTCAGTATGTGTAACTTGCCGAGGCAAGCTTTGTATTCCTTCTCTGTGAAGCAGAACGTGGACGTATAACTGAAAGCTGGTCCATGTTGAGGAATCTGGTATTTCTAAATAAAGACCACGTTGTTCTTCTAGACCAAAGGATAAGAACCAGACAACTGATTGGACAAGGCATTGAATCCATAGTTCTATGAGCATTTGTGGAAAGGGGAGGGCAAAAAAAAGCAGTTAATTCAGATTTATCTGATCATCAGATTCTCCATTCAAAACACTTACCAGAAATCCAACATATCTATTTTCACTAGAGTTGCTAAATTTATATATTCTGAGTTTCTTTTTGCCAAGAATGTTCTGACAAAGACTTCCTATAGTCACAGAGAATAGCTTACACTCTCACTTTTAGGAAGACCTTACTGAAGTAATTGAAAGAGGCAAGTGGAAATCAGGACCGGGCTTCAGATCATGCTCTTGAGTGTACAATGGCTCAGTGGAGATTAGTCAGGATAATAAAAAGAAATTTTTTTCTCACCTGAAAATTGAGATTTTGGTTTCTCATTCTATTCTTTAATGTAAAGTACATTTATGTTTGTATACATTGCCTATTTGGTGGATTATTATTTGGTATATTATTATAATTATTTGGTGGATTCTATAAAGGTATAAGGACACCTTAATATATAAAGACAAGTGATATACAAAACATAAGACCATATACATTTACCACTCTTTACCATACATGTACCACTGTTTACATAGTATAAATCAGGTTCAACATACCCAACACCTCAAAGATAATTTCTTTGTAGTGAAAGCAGTCCTCTCTCCCAACTTTCTAAAACTATTGCCTTTAGTACTCACCCTACTGTGCTTCTCACTAACTATAAATTCGTTCCTAAGAACTTTTATTCACCTGGCCTTTGGTAACCATCATTCTAGTCTCAATTTTCTTGAGGTCAACATTTTAGTGTTCACATATACATGACATAATTTGGTGTTGGTCTTTCTGTGTCTGTGACTCCTGCTACAAGGTCATATCATTCATTTTTTACTCTTAAAGACTTATTTTTGACTGGAGTAAGACTCAGAAGAAACAGCACTCAGTAGGACTGTCTATATCTCTTGACAGTCTGTTCCTGTTGCTTTGCTTTGGATTTCTTCATTCTTTTGACCAAAAGTTCAGTATATTCTGCAGCCTCTTTCTTATTTTTCATATTATGTATCCTTACTTTAATATTGAGAATAATGAGTCAGCATTTATATTTCAGTACACATGGAGTGACAAGATGATAAATCTTTGAATGCTTTAATCCTGAGCTTCTTGCCTTCTTTATTTAAGGGGTTTCTGACAATGTATTGGCAGACATACTCTTATCATCATCTTTAGACAGATTGAAAAGTTTTCAGGTTTTCCTGTTTCTTTTGGGTCCCAACCACTGAGGCATGACATCAGTCCAGGAATATTCCTTTCTCCCTCTGTCTCTCTCTCTCTGTCTGTCTCTGTCTCTCCCCCCCCCACGCACACACCAAGTTGAGAACACTAAAATCTGCATCCACAATGCATTTGATAATTCTTCCTTGTTTTAAGAGGCTGCTTGTTTGTTCCTCACTGCTCAGCCCTGAAATAACCACACAGAAATTGTATTAATTAAATCACTGTTTGGCCTATTACCATAGCTTCTTATTGGCTAGTTCTTACATCTTAATCTAGCCCATTTCTGTTATTTTATATTCGCCACAAGGATCATGGTCTGTAAGCAAAGTTACAGTGTGTCTGCCGTTGGTAGTGGCTACATTGCTTCTCCTTCCTCCACCTTCTTTCTCCCAGCATTCAGTTTTGTTTTCCCCACCTACCTCTATTCTGCTCTACCATGTCCAAGACAAACTCTTTATTAACCAGTTGTATTCACAGCATACAGAGGATAATCCCATATCCCTTTCTCTTACCAGTTTCCCTTGGTCTAGAACAAGAATGACTCTTATGAAGTCATAATGCTCTTATGACACAGGAGTCACATCCTACTGTGGCTCATGGGAAAGCATTGTTTGTTTTTTCTATAACTGATTTTAACCACATAATACACATTACACCCAGAGCATTAGCAGCTACTTCTTAAAGAAAGTGTAAAGTTTAAATTTATCATACAGTTAAAGTAATTTCTGACAGCTGGTGGGTGGAAACTAGATACTCAACTTCATCTTGATGTAGCTGACAGCCTAGGATGTGCCAGGATAAAGTTTTATCTGGCTCTTCACTTAATATAATTGCCAGTTTCATCTATATTGCATGACTTCATTCTTTTTCAAGACTGAATGGTATTCTATTTCATATATGCACACATTTACTTATTCATTTGTCAGCTAATAGACCTTTGATGTTTTTCTTGTCTGTATTCAGTAGTATTGGAATGAGTATGAGAATGCAGGGTCAATTTGACATGGTGATTTTATGTTCCTTTGAAGGACTCTTCAGTTTGTTTCCATAAGGGTTGTTGTAATTTTCATTGTCAAGAACAATGAGCCAGAGCTCCCTTTTCCACATCCCTGCCCACTCTTTTGTTAATAGCCTTTCTTGTTGAAGCAAGGTATGGCTAACAGTGATCCCACTTTGTGTTTCTTGATGGCTAGTAATGGCATATATTTTCTCATATATCTGCAGGCCATTTGGTGTTTCTTTCTAAGAAATGTCTTCTCATGTTTTTAATCTATTTTCTCCCCGACTTTATTGTTATTATTAATTGGGTTTGAGAGTTTATTATGTATTCTTTAGCAAATAGTGTTTACCATGATGAGTAGTTTACAAATATCTTTCTCATTCTCTGTAAGTTGTTTCTTTGTCTAATCAGTCATTTACCTCTTAGTTTGATTAAACTTCTTTGGTGCGGGAGAATTATCTGTATTTTGTCAATCATGTATTTTAATAAAACGCTGATTGGCCAGGCAGGAAGTATAGGCAGGTCAACCAGACAGGAAGTAGAGGCGGGGCGATGAGAACAGGAGTATTCCAGGAAGGAGGAAGTCCCTCTGCCACTCCTGCACAGACCACCGAAGAGGCAGCATGTAACTTGCCCAGCTGAGAAAGGTACTGAGCCGTATGGCTAACATAGATTAGAATAATGGGTAAAGATAAGTCATAAGAACTAATAAGTAGCCTGACCTAATGGGCATTTCAGTTTATAACCTAATGTAGACTCTGGGCTATTTTCTTTGGGAATTGCTGGTTATGGGGTACTGGGCAGGACAGAAACCCGAAAAAGCCAGCCCCTCATGTTACAACCAATGGTCATTAATATCACTTAATATCAATGGACTCAATTCACCTATAAAAAGGCACAGACTAAGAGATTGGATACGAAAACAGGATCCAACATTCTGTTGTCTACAAGAAACATACCTCAATCACAAAGACAGACATCAACTCAGAGTAAAGGGTTGGGAAAAGGTTTTCCAAGCAAACGGACCTAAGAAACAAGTGGGTGTGGCCATTCTAATTTCTAACAAAATTGACTTCAAACTAATATCAATCAGAAGAGATGGAGATGAACATTTCATACTCATAACATGAATAATTCATCATGATGAAGTCTCAATCATGAATATATAGACCCCTAATAAAAAAGCACCCACTTATATAAAAGAAACACTTCAAGAACTAAAGGCAGTCATCAAACCACACACACTGATAGTAGACTTCAACACACCTCTCTCACCAATGGACAGGTCAATCAGACAGAAACCAAACAGAGAAATAAGAGAATTAATGGAGATAATGAATCAAATGGACATACCAGACATCTAGAGAACATTCCACCAAAATAGTAAAGAATATACCTTCTTCTCTGCAGCTCATGGAACCTTCTCAAAAAATTGGCCACATACTCGGTAACAAAGCAAACTTACACAGATACAAAAAAATATTAATAACCACCTGTGTCTTGTTGGATCACCATGGATTAAAGTTAGAATTCAACAACAGTGCTACCCTCAGAAAGCATACAAACTCATGGAAGCAGAACAGTCAACTACTGAATCACCCCTGGGTCAAGGAAGAAATAAAGTAATAAAAGTCTTCCTTGAATTTAATGAAAATAAAGACACAACATACTCAAACCTATGAGACACTATGAAAGCAGTGCTAAGCGGAAAGTTCATAGCACTAACTGCCCATTTAAGAAAATGGAGAAAGCACACATTGGACACTTAACAGTACACCTAAAAGCTCTGGAAAAAAAGAAGCAAACTCACCCAGTAGGAGTAGAAGACTGGAAATAATCAAACTGAGGGTTGAAATCAACAAAATAGAAACACAGAAAACAATCCAAAGAATCAATGAAACAAAAAGCAGGTTCTTGGAGAAAATCAACAAGATTGACAAACCCCTATGCGAACTAATCAAATAGCAGAGAGAGAACATTCAAACTAATAAGATCAGAAATGAAAACAGGGACATAATCACAGACACAGAGGGAATTCAGAGAATCATTAGATCTTACTACAAAAGCCTGTATGCCACAAAATTGGAAAATGTAAAAGAAATAGACATTTTTTAAAGATAAGTACCATATACCAAAGTTGAACCAAGACCAGGTGAACAATCTAAATAGACCTGTTAGTCGGGAAGAATTAGAAGCTGTTATCAAAAACCTCCTGACCAAAAAAAGCCCAGGGCCAGATGGTTTCAATGCAGAATACTACCAGAACTTCCAAGAAGAGCTAATATCTATTCCTTAATGTATTTCACAATATAGAAACAGAAGAGTCATTGCCGAATTCTTTTTATGAAGCTACAGTTACCCTGATACCAAAACCACATAAAGACACAACCAAGAAAGAGAATTACAGGCCAATCTCACTCATGAACATCGACGCAAAAATTCTCAACAAAATACTGGCAAACCGCATCCAAGAATACATTAGAAAAATTATCCATTATGATCAAGTAGTTTTCATCCCAGAGATGCAAGGGTGGTTCAACATATGCAAATCTATGAATGTAATCCATCATATAAATAAACTGAAAGAGAAAACCATATGATCATTTCATTAGATGCTGAAAAAGCATTTGACAAAATTCAACACCCCTTTATGATAAAGGTGTTGAAGAGACTAGGGATACAAGGTTCATACCTAAATATAATAAAAGCTATTTACAGCAAGCCAACAGCTAACATCAAATTAAATGGAGAGAAACTCAAAACCTCCACAAAAATCAGGAACACGACAAGGCTGTCCACTCTCTCCATACCTCTTCAATATAGTGCTTAAAGTTCTAGTAATAGCAACAAGATAACATAAGGGGATCAAGGGGAATCAAATTGGAAAGGAAGAAGATAAACTTTTGTTATTTGCAGATGATATGATAGTGTGCATAAGTGACCCCAAAAAGTCTACCAAAGAACTCCTACAGCTGATAAACACCTTTAGTAATGTGGCAGGTTACAAGATCAACTCCAAAAAAATCAGTTGTCCTATACACAAAGGATAAAGAAGCAGAGGAGAAATCAGAGAAGCATCACATTTCATGATAGACACAAATAGCATAAAGTATCTTGGGGTAACTCTAACCAAGGAAGTGAAAGATTTATTTGACAAGAACTTTAAGTCTTTGAAGAAAGAAATTGAAGAGGATACCAGAAAATGAAAGTTTTTCCCTTGTTCTTGGATTGGGAGGATCAACATAGTAAAAATGGCAGTTCTATCCAAAGCAATTTATAAATTCAATGCAATCCCCATCAAAATCCCATCAAAATTCTTCACAGACCTTGAGAGAACAATAATCAACGTTATATGGCAAAACAAAAAACCCAGGATAGACAAAACAATCTTATACAATAAAGGAACTTCTGAAGGCATTACCATCCCTGACTTCAAACTCTATTACAGAGCTACAGTATTGAAAACAGCTTGGTATTGGCATAAAAACAGAGAAGTCGACCAATGGAATCAAATAGAATACCCAGATATTAATCCACAAACCTGTGAACACCTGATTTTTGACAAGGGAGCTAAAAGTATACAATGGAAGAAAGAAACCCTCTTCAACAAATAATGTTGGCATTACTGGATATCAACCTGTAGAAGAATGAAAATAGTTCCATATCTAAAATGGAGCACTGAACTGAACAGAGAAGTCTCTACAGAAGAAGTTCAAATGGCCAAAAGACACTTAATGTCATGTCAACCTCCTTAGCGATCAGGGAAATGCAAATCAAAATACCTCTGAGATATCATCTTATACCTGTCAGAATGGCTAAAATCAAAAACACTTATGATAACCTATGCTGGAGAGGATGTGGAGTAAAGGGTACACTCATCCATTGCTGGTGGGAATGTAAACTTGTGCAACCACTTTGGAAATCAGTGTGGCAGTTTCTCAGGAAATTCGGGATCAGTCTACCCCAGGATCCAGCAATACCACTCTTGGGAATATACCCAAGAGATGCCCTATCATACTACAAAAGCATTTGTTCAACTATGTTCATAATAGCATTGTTTGCAATAGCCAGAACCTGGAAACAACCTAGATGCCCTTCAATGGAAGAATGGATAAAGAAAGTGTGAAATATATACACATTAGAGTTTTACTCAGCGGTAAAAAAAACAATGACATCTTGAATTTTGCATGGAAATGGACGGAAATAGAAAACACTATTCTGAGTGAGGTAACCCAGACCCAAATAGATGGATATGGTATGTACTCACTCATTAGTGGATTCTAGTCATAAATAAAGGTCAGTGAGCCTATAATTCGTGGTCCTAGAGAAGCTAAATAAGAAGGTGAGCCCACTGAAAAAACACATAGTTATCCTCATGGATATTGGAAGTAGACTTGATTGTCAGGCAAAAATTGGGATCTTGGGGTTGAGGGTAGGGGTTTGGGGACTTGGGGAGAGAAAAGTGAGGAGGGGAGGATGGAGAGACTCTGGGGAAATGGGATGGTTGGTATGGA